CCACACCACTTCCCCACTGGGCACACACACACACACTCACACATGTGTGCCCACACCACTTCTCCACCGGGCACATACACACTCACACATGTGTGTTCACACTACTTCCCCCATCAGGCACACACACACTTACACATGTGTGTTCACACCACTTCCCCCACTGGACACACACACACACACACACACACACACACACTCACACATGTGTGTTTACACCACTTCCCCCATCAGGCACACACACACTCACACATGTGTGCCCACACCACTTCCCCACTGGGCACACACACACTCACACATGTGTGCCCACACCACTTCCCCCACCAGGCACACACACACTCACACATGAGTGCCCACACTACTTCCCCCATCAGGCACACACACACTCACACATGTGTGTTCACACCACTTCCCCCACCAGGCACACACACACTCACACATGAGTGCCCACACCACTTCCCCACCGGGCACACACACACTCACACATGCATTAAAAGAATGACATCATTGTTCATAACACAGAGGGATCTTGGGGGCGGGCATAGCAGCAGTAGTAGGACTCAGAGAAGAGCACAGGGAAACTGTAGACCAGGCCTGATGAGCTGGGATGGGGAAAAGGCCAAGGGACAATTCTGTGAAGGACTGGGACCCGGGGAAAATCAAACCCTTTCCTGATTTTAAGCACTATCAACACATGAACTCTGCGGTGTGTCAAGGTTCTATGTGTCAAGGTTCTGTCACTTGCCAATATTATTTCATTTTCTTAATAGATTTGCAGAGAGGCTAAGAAAATGTGAAGAAATGGAAAACATTTTGAAGAGCAAGAGGTAAGCTCTTCAGAGAATGTCTCCATGGATACTCTTTAGTTCTTGCCTTATTTTCTGAAGCTGCACATCAGTTTCTCCCTCATGCCTGTCCCAGTCATCCTCTGTAGCAATCTGCCAGTACCCTTGAGAAACCAAGCTTAGAAGTGTCACTCACTGGATCTTCCTGTTCCTTCAAGATCAGTCCTCTAAGTCCATGTCGCCTGGCTGGCAGTTCTGGTGACTTCCCCAAAACTCCAGCCAAAATAGCAGTAGAATTTCAGGGTAAGATTCAGAGTCTAATATTAAATTCTATCTAATCCATGTATCTACCACATGCTTGCCTATCATTCATGTATGTATGTATATATGTATGTATGTATCTACCTATCATCTATTTATCTGTGTATGTACGTATGTGTCTGTCTGTCTATCTATCTATCTATCTATCTATCTATCTATCTATCTATCTATCGATCATCTATCTATCTATCTATCTATCTATCTATCTATCTATCTATCTATCTATCTATCTATCTATCTCTATCTATCTATCATCTATCTATCTGTCTATCTATCTGTCTATCTATCTATCTATCTATCTATCTATCTATCTATCTATCTATCATCTATTTACTTAGTATCTATCTAGCACAGTACAATTTGTGGAGCGGTAGCTCTATGGTCCTGGTCCAAAGGTTCTAGGACTGTGTCTTCTATGTTGGTTCTTCTGGGTAATGTTTCTCCCAAATTAAAGACTAATCTTTTTTTTTTTTTTTTGGTTTTGTCACTTGTCATACATACATAGTTATACATGTGCTTGTAACCCAAGGGTAGTCATTAATTCATAGAGAATGTATGATATAAAACTACATGGAAGAAAAGAGAGGTCAGTTTACTACGTAAGTAACATGAAGCCACTATGTGGCTTCCATAATTCTGTAAGTCATTCTGTTCAGGTTAAATGATTTTTCTCTCTTGTGCCATCCAGAATGTTGAGAATTCAGTGGCAGGTCTCTGATTCCCAGAAAACAGACTCTGAAGTACCCGTTCTGGCAAGGACTCTATTGAGTTCCTATCCAAGGACCTTTGTTCCTGCCGTCTCAGTCTTAAGGGAAAAGAGAAGCTGTGTCTCTCTTGAGGGTTACTTTTATAATGGGATTGGTTCATATTATAAATTGTTTGCTGTTTAGCTAATTCATATAGATAAAAGTGTTGCTTGCTTTTGTTTAGTAAGACCTACCTATCTGTCATAGTACGAGGCATTTCATACGTAAAATGTTTGTTTAGTGAAGCAACGGTTTGAAGTCTGTTTGATTACAAAGTTCACATCTATCATCAGCTACTGCTTTGGCAGTTTCAATTGTTTGATAAAATTTGGACTCTGTAATTTTCCTTCTCTTGCTTTTGTTACCCCATGAAGCCATGGCCTCAAATTAAACATTTTCTTTTATTGGTTGCCTTGGTCATTTTAAGTATTACAGTTCTGAGGGTAAAGGTATCTCTAACGCATGTGTTACAGCTCTGAGGGGAGATGTATCCTGGAGGTTGGGAGCCAAAAAATACTCCAAAGTCACACTGCAAATAAACCTCACCCAAGAGATTTACTGGGAAAAACATGGGAGTGGGAGGCAGGCTGATACAGGGTTTCTTGGGGACAGAATTTTCCATGGTGTAGATTTCTAGCATGGGGAATGGTGGGATTTTAAGTCCTGAGCTTAGGGACTAGAATTGGTGTGATTTCAAGCCCAGAATTGACCCAGGCCTTTTACCCTATAGTCGTGGTCTGTTATCACAAAATAGAAAATGAACTAATCAGAGAGCAGCTTTGTAAATAGCCTGCTCACTGCACATGCGTTAGTTTTTCTGGGTGCCCTGTTTTTTGGCTTCCTTGGTCTGCGATTCCATGTTTTTTTCTGCCAAACTATGCTGCTGTGGTCACTAGGACTCAGTAGGGTATTTTGGAATATAATGGCTCCTGTTTTGTGCTTTTTGATCAGGATTACTTGTCTATTTACATTTTTTGTGGTTCCATACAGATTTAAAGGCTGTTTTCCTAGGTCTGTGAGGAATGTTATTAGTATCCTGTTAAGATTGCACTGAATCTGTAGATCTCTTTGGGTAGTATGAGCATTTTCAACAATATGGGTTCATGAACAGAATGTTTTTCTATTTTTTTGTGTCTTCAGTTTCTATCATCAATGTTTTATACATGTATACATAAAATGTTTGTATATATTTAAATATGTATATTTTGGAGACATGATTTCATCATAATGAAATTATGTTGAACTTGCTATGAGTACCAGGCTAACCCCAGACTCACATAGGTTGGCCCTCCTTGGCCACCAAGGTGCTTGGATTAAAGAAGCACACCACTGTACTCTGCAGTGTTTCACAGTTTTTATTATAGAGATCTTTCACCTTTGTTCCTAGTTACTAATTTATCTGCAAGATCAATCTCACTCTAACTGTGAGATTGCTTCCTTGATTTCGATATCAGATAACTTGCCATTGCTATGTACCCACACTATTGATTGTTGTGTGTTGGTTTTGTGACCTGAAAGTTTGCTAAGTTGTTTATCAGCTCCAGTAGCTTCTCTGGTGGGAGTTCTTATTTTTGTGGACAATACACAGAGCTTCATGTGCAGATCCATACAGTGTGGGAAGGATTCAGTGGGTGAGGACACGTGGGTCCGGAGGTAAAGACAGCTGTGCCAATGGAGCAACTTGGTGTGCCTTCATCTGCAGAGTGTGCCATTGGGTGGTTCAAATCAACCTTCACATAGCTGTGAAAGGGAGGCTGGTCCTGCTGGCACTGGGTCATGTGAGAGTAACTTTGATGGTGTGGTCAGGTGAGAAGCCTGACACAAGGTTGTTTCTGAGTGAGTCAAAGACAAGAAAACAGAAAAGTGTTGTGTGACTGATTCTTCTAAATCACAATAATACAGAGAATCCAAGTTAGCAATGAAATACTGCAGCTCTTGTAATTAAGGTAACAGGACACAGCGGATACAAAAAAACCCCACACAAAACAAAACAAAACAAAAAACCTAAAGAAAAGAAAGAAAGGAAGGAAAAGAAAACATTGAGGATGTTCTGAAGCAACGTGCTTTGGATGCAAATTCTCATGTTTAAGACCTGTAAGCTAGAGTCTCTTTCCTTGAGGTTGGGTAAAAAGTGAGCAGATTAAGAAACTGCAAGAACACTAAATAAAATAACATATAGTTCTCAGGGTAATAAAGTAGGTGAGGAGTTTTAAACTGTGAGAAGTGATGATGTCATTTATGGTTAGTTTCTACTGGGGAGATTAAAGAGGTGTCAGAATTAGGAATCTTAAAGACAGTCCCCACACAGAAATAAAACAATGACAACAATGGCCTCTTTGTAAAATGAACTCAATTTTTCTTGTCCTATTCTATTCTATTATTCTGGGGAGGAGTGGAGGGTAGACGTGAGCTAAGGTGTGCATAAGGAAGTCAGAGGACAGCCTTGTGGAGTCAGTTCTCTCCTTCCATCTTTAAGTGACTGCTGGGGATTAGATGTTCACCTTGTGGCAAGTGCTTTTTACCCGCAGAGCTCTGTAAGCTGTTTTCTTCAGCTCTGTAAACTATGTTCCTAAAGTTGGACCATAACTTCATGGGATGACACCTTTAGTTCTGTGTTGTATAAAAATAATGCTAAGAAAAAATAATGCTAAGATATTTACTACCTTAATACTTACAGGATCATGTATTTTATACGTCAGCAATAAAGCCACATTCAGAGGGCAGGGGAGGCTCTGAGCTCCTCAGAGATTCTTTGTGCAGCAATTGTAGCAGTGACAAGCTGTCTGTCCTCACCACCCCCCCACACAGATTAAAATCGACTTTTACCATTGCCCGTTTTTCATGAGCCGAATTGCTTCATTGACCTTATCGAGAGTCAGGGTGTGGGTAATCAGTGGATCTAGGTTAAACTTCTTTGCCGTATAGTCAGAAACCAGCTTAGGGATTTCCTCCTTGGTTTTCCAGCCTGGAAATACACAAAAGAACACAGACTTATGAAAGATTCTACCCATGAGATTTCAGTATAAAAGAGGTTTCTCATGTTTGGTGCTGGGGTTTTTGTTAGTCTGTGATTCTTGTGGGGAGCATTGTCAGCCCAAGTGGTTTAATTTCTTTTAAGATATTTGTGTTTTAAAGATACCTTGATATCTTCCCTTAAGATATTTATATCTTAGCTTCTTTTAAGATATGTATGTGTGCATGTATATACATATGTGTGTATTATATATACATATATAATACATGTATATCACACACAAACATGTATATACATACTGAAGAACCAGCCTGCCTCCATCTTAGGCTCAAAAGCCATCTTATAGTGGAGACAAACTAGGTTCATTCCTGTTTATGATGAAATCTGTTTCTCAAGGATTGAGCTATGCCCCACCTGTAACCTTACTTACAAATGGTTCTGAACTGCCTGTTCCAGAAATGGCAATCATCTTTGTTTTAAAAAGTTAATAACTATCTTGCAACTCTACCTTTGTTTCAAAAGGGTGGTTATGGCTACCTTGTTATGACCACCTTGTGATCATGTCTTTGTTTCAGGAGGTCGTTATGACCAACTTGTTATGCTTATGTTCTGCTCCTGTAACCCCACCTATTTTGACCACCAAATGCCCCATTTGGAAATCCCCTACCCCTGAGCTATAAAAACCTTGTCTTCCTCACATCCAATGCTGACCTCTCAAATTCTACCTTAGGGGGAGGCAGCCCGTGTACATGAATAAAAAAAAATCTTGCTTTAATTAATTTGGCCATGATGATTTAGGTAAGTGATCTTTCTCCTCCCATCTTTGGGATTAATTTTATATTTATATATATATATATAATAATTATAATTATATATATTATAATTTTAGGTAAATATGAAATAATATGATAACTTGAGGCTTTATTAGACAGCCTTGATATTATTTATCCCTCCTTCTCCTTCTGCATTGACCTCCTTTCCACCTCCCCAGTTGGAGACCCCAGCCTTTTACTCCATTTACCACTTTGTATCACATGTATTCTGCTCTTCACCTCCCAAGCCCCCAAACCCCTTATGATCCCTTTACATTTTTTCTTTTCTGTGGTTACTCCATGCTGTGTATACACATCTGAAGATTTTAAAGAGACGTATCTTAGTTACTTTTCTATTGCTGTGACATATAAGGCAACTTATAAAAGAAAGCATTTAATTTTGGGCTCATAGTTCCAGAGAATTAAAGTATGGCAGCAGGCAGGCAGGCATGGTGCTGGAGCAGTAGCTGAGAGCTCACCTGTTAATCTGCAAGCAGCAGGCAAGCAAGGGAACTGAGAATAGTACATCTTTTGAAACTACTCCCAGTGACACACCTCTTAATCCTTTCCAAAGAATTCTCACTGGGGACCAAGTATTCAAATATATAACCCTATGGGACCCATTCTCATCCAAACAACCACAGAACAACAACAGATGAGAGAGAACATGTGGTGTTTGCTATTTGTGTCTGGATTACCTCACTCAATGTGATCTCTTCCAGGTCTACACATTTACCTGCAAATTTCAAGATTTCATTTTTAATTATAGCTGAATAGTATTTCATTATATATATGTATCACCTTTTATACCTATTCATCTATTGAAGAACACTTAGTTTGTCTCAATTTCCTGGATATTGTGAATAGAGCAGCTACGAACATTGCTGAGCAAGTATCTGTGAAGTATGATGTTGAGTCCTTTGGGCATATGCCAGGAATGGTATAGCTTTATTAGGTCATGTGGTAGATTTATTTTTAGTTTTTTTTTGAGGATTCTCCATACTGATTTCCACGGTGGCTTCACCAATTTGCAGTCTCACTAACAGTGAACGAGGGTTCTCCAATCTCCACAACAAAAGCCAGCATTTGTTGTCAGCTGCTGATCTTGGCTATTCTGACCTGGATGATGTGGTGGTTTGAAGAGGTATGGCCCCATAGACTCATGTGTTTGAATGCTTAGCACACAGGGAGTGGTCCTATTAGGAGGTGTGGCCTTGTTGGAGTAGGTGTGGCCTTGTTGGAGGAAGTGTGTCACTATAGGGGCAAACTTTGAGGTCTCAGATTCTTAGGCCCAGACGCAGGGACACACAGTTCTTTTCCTGTTACCTGCAGATCAGGATGTAGAACTCTCAGCTCCTTCTCTAGCACCATGTCTGCCTGCATGCTGCCATGGTTCCCACCATGATGATAATGGACTAAACCTCTGAAACTGTAAACTTGAGACATAGTGGGGAAAACTACTCTCAGGGTGAAACCAAGGAAGCCCCTCTAATAGTACAAAGATTGATCCCAAGCCCAAATATCATCAATTAACAAGAATATTGTAGTCATCAAGAGGAGGGACCTTACCACCAAACTGAGAAACACAAATGTAAGAAAAGAGAACATGTCTAGGGGGGGAAAACTGCCATCTGGTGCTCCAGCTGGTGCTACCATTGATAACTAAATATCCTCAGCTTTCATATATTTGGGGGAAAATGGAAACATTTAACTACAGATGACTGGCTTAATTTTCCACAGAGAATTGAAGTCCTTGAAAGAAGGTACATTTGTCTTCAAGATGCTGAAGGCTACTTGACCTGTCTAGTTTTAGTCCACAATTATCTATAAGACAAATAAATTAGTCCAAATTTTTGAATTTGCTAAGACTTGCTTTGTGGCCTAAAGTATAAATTATTTTAAACAAAGTTCCTTAGGCTGTTGAGAATTATGTGTTTCCGAAGCTGCTGGAAGGAATACTCCAGATATCTGTTAAGTCCAACTTGTTTATGATGCCGTTTGACTCTGAAGTTTCATTGCTTATTTCTTATGTCTAGATGATGATTTATTAGAGTAGGCTATTGAATGTACCTACTGTTATTGTATTGGAATCCATCCCTTTGTGTCCATTAGTATTGGTTTTATGAAATTGAGTGCTTGTGTTACTTTTCTCATTGTTATGACTGAAGCGATTTTTCAAAGAAAGATCTTATTTTGGCTCCTGGTCTGAGAGTACATGGTGAGTCAAGGGTGTCATGTCTGTGGGAATGTGAGGTCACATCACATCAACAGTCAGGAGGCAGAGAGAGAGATGGCCATGTTCAGCACTCAGTCTTCTTTTTTCCCGATTTGACTCAGTTCTCAAGACTCCAGTGAAGTAGAACAGGGTGTAGAATGAGAAGGCCTCATGCTAATCCTTAGAAAAAGTAGTGTATTAAAAAAAAAAAAAACAATTGGCAAAGATGACTGGAGCACACCTCCTGCTTATTGGGATAGAGATTGACTAACGACAGCCATCAGAAGAGGCACAGGGTACTCCAGAGTGTGTGCAGGTGACCTATGGCTCATTACAACACTAAAACACACATCCCTGGGAGGATTGAAGATGATAATGACACATGAAATGCATGAAGCTGTGTGCAGAAGGCATGTGATAGTATCTATCACATGTGCAAGGTAGCCTGAGATAAGTAGATGAGCCAAAACGTTGTGCCATGTGATATAAAATTTTGCCCCCATCCTTTGTACAGTGATCATATTTAAACCATACAGAGAAAAGCAGGACTAAGAACTTACTGGACACACCAAACCAAGGAGAGGTTGTAACTCCTTCATTTGAGTCCCATAAAGAGATAGGCACCTAGCATTAAGATGACTGGCAGTGGTTAGGGAATATTATTTTAAGGTGTGTTACTTTTGTTTATGTTGCATTTGTTTAACTCTGTGAAGCTGTGTTACTGTGCCTGTCTGGAACACCTGATGGGCTAATAAAGAGCTGAGTGGCCAATATCAAGGCAGAAGAAAGGATAGGCCTGGCAGGCAGAGAGAATAGAAAGGAGGAGAAATGCTGGAGGAGAAGGAAGAAGGAGCAAGAGAAGGAGGAGGACTCTAGGAGTCAGCCACCCAGCTACATAGTAAGACATGGAGTAAGAGAAAGATTTACAGAAGTAAGAGAATGGGAAAAGCCCAGAGCCAAAAGGTAGATGGGATAATTTAAAGTTAAGAAAAGCTGGCAAGAAACAAGCCAAGCTAAGGCCAGGAATTTATAATTAAGAATAAGCCTCCCTGTGTGATTCATTTGGGAGCTAGATAGCGGGCTCCCCAAAAGAGCAAAAACAACAGGCAGTGGTGGTGCACACCTTTAATCCCAGCACTTTGGAGGCAGAGGCAGGTGAATCTCTGAGTTTGAGGCCAGTTGGTCTAAAGAGTGAGTTCCAGCACAGCTATACAGGAAAACCCTGTCTCTAAAAATAAAAACCAAAAAAAAAAAAAAAAAAAAGATGGAGAGATCTCTCACTGACCACCTAGGATGTGCATCAAGAGACTGACAGGCAGGTAGTTCACAACTGTCTCAGGACCTTCAGCTCAGCCTAATCTCTATTGTTGGTGTGACATACTCAAACTGTCACTGTTCATCTACCTGTTTACTTGCCTAGACCTGCCATCTACCCATCTACTCATTTATTCATCTGGACCTAGTTCTGCCCTTTTGTCTCTATAGCTGGTCTCAACTCTGAGCCTGAAGCCTGACTCTACAACAGCCTTGGTAGACTCTTTAGCACAGTGATTCTCAACCTGTGGGTAGTGACCTCTTTGGCGGTCAAGTGACCTTTTCACAGAGGTTGCCTAAGATCATCTGCATATTAGATATTTACATTATGATTCACAACAGTAGCAAAATTATAGTTATGAAGCATTGGTGAAAATAATTTTTTGGTTGGGGAACTGTATTAAAGGGTCTCAGCATTAGGAAGGTTGAGAACCACTGCTTTAGCAGAAGCAACAGCCCAAGTTGGTTCATTGTCAGTACAGATTGATTTCTACCAGTTTTCCTGCTTCCTAGGACTTCTCAAACCTCTTGAAGTCTGCTGTGACCCCTTAACTCACAAGACTTATTCTATAACTTACATATATCATGCATATATAGAAATAATTGCTGTGTGGTGTGTAATATGTGATCTGAGTGGTAATAGTAAATAAGATTGTAATTAAAGTATCGCTGCTCACCTCTGCCAAGATTATCATGAAAAGTTGATGTAACTGACAAATTGCTGCCATTGAAACTATGGCCCCTTGTGAGTTTATTGTTACTACATTCTGCATTGTGCAAAGATGAACATGTACTTATCTCTGTTTCTGACATAATGTGCCCAGGATTTTTGTTGGTGGATGTTTCTGTCCTACCAGCCCCTCCCAAATAACCATACAGAGACTTATTGTTAATTATAAATGTTTGGCTAATAGCTTAGGCTTGTTACTAAATAGCTCTTATAACTTAAATTAACCCATATTTCTTGTCTATGTACGATCATGTGGCTTGGTACTTTTTTTTTTCTCTTCACGTCTCCTGGTGACTTCTCCCTTTTTCCTCCCAGTGTTCTCCCAGTCTGGCTCTCTAGCTTTACCTCTTCCTGCCTCGCTATCAGATAGTTAGCTCTTTATCAAACCAATGAGGGCAATACATCTTCACAGTATACAAAAGGATTATTCCACAGCCTGTTTTTCTGAAACAGTCAGTTGAGCATATAGAATGGCAGAGAACACACTCTAAATAGGTTTTAAATATATACAGGTTGGCCCTAGTCCTATACAAAATAAAGCAAAGTTAAAGTGGTACTGTAAGTGTGGACACATATATTTTCAGTAACCAACTCCTGCTTCTTTTCCTTTGATGTTTAGTCTGAATTTATTCAAAATTCATGAGTTTTGAAATAGTTAATTTGATTGTTTAATTTGTTAAAATTGTGTATGTGTGTCTTTCCAATTTTGGTCTCCATAGGTTGCAATTTAATCTTCAAGGAGGTAAAGAAGCACCACAGAGCCCTGCTGAGGATGCTAATGTGCCGCCATTGTCAGGGTCTTAGAACGTGAGGACGCAGCGGATGCTGAAACACAAAAGAGTAAATGCTGAGATGACTAACTTGTCTCTGCTTATGGACGAGGCACAAGGCAATTACAGCACATACATCCCCTTCTCCCAACTCTGCCCTTTTTACAGACACTGAAAATATCTGCAATCAAGGCTAGCAGAGAACAGCCAATCATGAGATCAGAACGGAGCAACGAGAACCAGACAGTATGGCAGCAGACAGCCCTGAGGAGTCAGTCACCTCAGTTATGGGTGCCCTTCACTCTGGGACCTCTCAGCACTCCTCAGGTGGCCACTCACTAGTCTGGTGGGAACTGCAGCAGTAATTCCACAGCACTGTTCTGTTTTTAGGGTGAAAGGCTGTGTGAAGACAATCACTGGGTTGCATTTTGAATGGAAATGTCGGTCTTTTTGTTGTTGTTGTTGTTTTCTTGTCAACTTGTGGTGCTCTGCTCTTATTACTACCAAATGAGAGTCATCAGGAAGAGTGATGTACATTGTGCTTTCTATATTAGCAAGTTCCCTGGTACATAAAGCATTCTAAATGCACCATTCTAAAACATCCAGATTAAAGAATTCTGCTTATCAATTCATCTTTTTATGTGTTTGTTCTTTTAGGCAAAAACTTATTCCTGAGCAATTCCCACACTCGAGTTGTTGCAGTTGATACTGGTGTTAGAAATAGAAATGCGATAGTCAAGAATTTATCAGACAAACTAATTACCATTTACATGTCACACGATGGTAGTAGAGGGTAAAATGGGAGCATGGACTTGTCATAAAATTTTGACCGAAATGTCACCACACCCAGGAATGTCTTATACACACACACACACACACACACACACACACACACACACACACACACATACACACACACTCACCCCATTTGCACAAATACTTACCAGTTTTCTTCTCGTAACAATTTGAACCCTTCATTGACTTTTTCAAAAGGCAGCTTGTGGGTTATAAGAACATCTGTGTTGATTTTTTTTTGTAAGTAGTCAGTTACTAGTTTAGGGATGCCATCTCTGGTTTTATACCCTGTGGAAGGAAAAGACTAAAGTAATCGGATGTGAAAAATATCAGAGCTGACAGAAGGTTCCAGTGAACTGTCTATTTATATAATTATCAAAGCCAGTCATTCATTGGTCCTTTTCCTAAGTGTCAAAGCAAGCAGTTTGCTGCATAGCAGAATCCAGTCACTGGCAGAATTGTGATTACCAGGCCTATAGAAGAGCCCTATGCCTATGCTCTCATGGCTATAACCATAACCACACGCCTAAAGCTCTCGTTTGTCCTCCGGGCACTCACCATTTCCTGCAGGACCCACTGGCTGGCTGACCTGGATTACCAATCTCCTTTGATCTAAGGCAGGGTGTGTTAATGCACATAAAAACAGCTGGGATTGAAGGTCATGGGAAGTGGTTAGTGTCCTGGAAAGTGGGCGGATGGGCTGTGATCACGATTGCATTGAGTCTATTACTTCTTTTCTTTCACAGAGGAAGAGGAAATACTATCACAGTCTCATTTGAGATCATACACCCAAGGACCTAAGGATTTGCAGAAGGCCTCACCTCCAGAACTTCTCAGTAGCACCATTCTGGGCACCTCTAACCTACAGACCGGGGAGATCTTCAACATCTATACCACAGAAACAATACAATATCTGATGATTGCATAATTGGTTGGTATGTAGGGTTTTCACTAACCTAAAACCCTGTTAGCGTAACACTGAATAAAGGGCAACCTTTGCAGCGGATTCTCTCATCCATAACAAAATAATTCTTTTTAGGGGACTAGTTTTATTAGTTGGTAAGTATGAGACAACCAACTGTGAGTATCTAGTATGCCTCTCCAGCATGCTAGCAAGCCTTTACACATGCACACACACTTGGTGTCATAAATAGATGAAGAGAAGCACAGGAAGAAGGCACACACGGTATATGGGAATAAGGTGCTTGCAAATTTCCACTTTGAGATTGGAGTAGCTGGTCAAAATAAAGGCAAAACATTGAGGTCTGGGGATCTGACAACCAGGCAAAGGTTGGTCAATTCAGGTACCTGGAGCTAAACACATTCAATTTTCCAGCAGTTGTGTGGAATCCTGGGGTCCTTCTAAAAGCATGGAAGAGCCTCTAAGGTGGCTTAGTGTCCGACAAGAAAGAAACCATAAAACTTGCAGTATGTCAGCCTCATAAGACAAAGGTGGCAAAGTCTCTTGTCTAGGAACAGGAAGAGAGATTGGGACCAATGGCTCAGTGATGGGGGACCAATGGCTCAGTGATGGGGGACCAATGGCTCAGTGATGGGGGACCAATGGCTCAGTGATTGGGGACCAATGGCTCAGTGATGGGGGACCAATGGCTCAGTGATGGCTCAGCAGGCAAACCGCCCCCCCCCCCCCGCACTGTTTATTTCTCAGCTTCTATCTTGCTGTATGGGGACTGTTCTTGCTGCAGACAATGTAATCCTTTTGCTGAACCAGTAGGCTGTGCTTGATAGCCCTTAGCCGCCACAGACATGGCTCATCACCTTATGGCAGAGGTCATCTTGGCTATACAAAGCCCATCTCCTCCTAGTTGATGTGCGTTTGTTTCTTTTTCCTGTTGCTCTGATAAAAATATCCTGACACTGGTTGGAGAGATGACTCAGTGGCCAAGAGCACTTGTTTCTCTTCCAGATGACCTGGGTCCAATTCCCAGCACCCATATGGTCATTCACAACCATCTGTAACTTCCGCCCCAGGGGATCCAATACCCTCTTCTAACCTTTGAGGGCACCAGGCACACAAGTGATGTAGATACATACATGCAGGCAAAATACTCACACATAAGAGAAAAAATATCTTGACAAAAGCAAAACAAACTTCTTTTTCATGAACGTTAACCAAACACACACACACACACACACACACACACACACACACACACACACACACACACTTTGGCAGCAACAGAAAATGGACAAAGATGGATAGTTAGCTAGAAAGAAAAAGCTGAGTCATTTGTGTTCAGTCATTCTCTGCCTTCAGTTACTTCTTAAACAGCTTAGTTTGGGGAGCTTTACACAAGTTGGATAATTCTCGAATTTCTGAAAGAGGAAACTTCCGTAGTGGAAGGCTGGTTGATGGAAATGCTCTCCCTGTTATGTGATTAGGTGGGTAGTAGTCCAACTTCATATTCAGCTTACACAAAAGCGTGTCAAGGAATAATCTAGAAGGCCCCAGACCTTCCCCAAACAAGCATTCACTGCCACCAAAGCCCGCACCTCATGTTTTCTTGGGTCGTGGGCTGCTGTTGAAAACATATCAACTGATGACTCATTTTTTTTTGCTCATTTTGTGTCACCTTCTTTGCCGAATTCTTACCTTGCATGTTTTTCATTTAGTTTTAACTATTAGATAAGAAAAACTATTGCTCACCCTTGTTTTCAGCTGGTAGGGCTGGGTTTAAGGAATAACTTGCTTAAAGGTAATGCCCATTGAGAACTCTGACTGCAAAAGTCAAGTTTTCAGATCCATGCCTTAAATTAACCAATCATCAATTAGTCATTAATCACCAATCACCAATAATCAGTCATTAATCTTGCTTAAGCGTTCTGGATAAGGACAGGGCGTACGATAATATGATCTGTGCTGTCTAATAACAAGCCGATGCTAGTCATATGTGGCTGCTTGCATTTATTTACTTATTTTTTAGGCATGGTCTCATTATGTTGCCCTGCCTTGCCCTGGAACTCACTATGCAGATCAGGCTAGCCTTGAACTCATAAAAATCCACTTCCCTCTGCCTTCCTAGCTCTTGGATTAAGTCATGTGCCACCACATCTGTTGTGGAATATTATTTTAGCTAGGCAAAGATGTGTTACATTTATTTTACCTTACCTGCCTAAGGCACCGGATTGGTTTAATAAAGAGCTAGGTAGAGAAAGGATAGGTGGGGTTGGTGGGCAGAGAGAATAAATAGGAGGAGACATTTAGGCTCAAGAGAGGAACAGAGAAGAAGGAAGAGGAAAGAACGAGAGGAAGAGAGAGAGGCATGCTTGGATCCAGAAGCCAGGCAGCTGCCAGCCAGACATGAGAAGCAGAGAAAGTAAGATATACAGAAATAAAGGGAAAAAAAAAGGTAGAAGAAGAGAAACATGTTAATTTAAGTTAAAAGAGCTAGCCAGAAACAAGCCTAAGCAAGGCTGAGCATTCAAAGCTAACAGGAAGTCTCTGTGTCATGATTTGGGAGTTGGTTGGTGCCCCCCAAAAAGAAAGCCTGCTCCACACATCCACCACCGCGGTTTGGATTTAAGTAGAGTAAAATTAAACAGAACTGACTTGTCAGTCTTCCAGTCCCACTAGCCATATTCTGAGTTTTTAAAAGTCACATATGACTAGAAGTCACTTCATTAGACAGTGAGGCCTCAGAATATTTAATGCTGTACAGGTTCCGTGGGGCTGGCTAGTTCTGGAAGCACACTGGGTATGACTGTGAGGTGATGGAATAGATTCTGAAGGTGTTTAGGGAAGAGAGATTGGAATGTGGGCTCACACTGTAATTGTGTGTTTAGTTTTAAAATAGAAACGTAGAATGATTATTAGAGTGAGAACTCAGGGTGGGGGGGGCAAATCAGTGATACGCTCGTCTAGTCTTAACCTGTATGGGGGAGTGGTCCATATACCACCCATGGTTTGCCACCAAGTACAGAAGGTCTGCGTCCCAGTGGGTACCTTATGGATCTTATCAGTGTGAAACTAGTGACCTGTTTGCTTCTACAGAGAACATGCTACTTTCGGGAAGATAGTCTCGTGCTTTCATGGAAGTTGGAGAGGGGATAGTGTCTGGCTATGTGTGCCTGACTGCCTGGAACTCACTTGAGTCTAGGCTGGCCTCGACCGACCTTGTGATACTTTCCCTGCATCTGCATCCCAAGTGCTGAGAATGCGGCCCACCTTTCCATTTCTCGATACACTGTCCTCTGTTTCCTCCTATCTTCCCTCCCTGTTTCCCTCCAAGGAGCCTTCAGGGCACTTAGGGTTCTGGGAAGAGGAAGGAAACAGAAAGGCCTACCTCCCATGACAGAAGACTTCAAGGTTCTCCCGGGGAGAAGCTCGGCTGGGTCGAATGAGAGCTGTGACCCTGAGGGAGCTACTCCCATAATCACGCACACCCCGTAGCTCATCACGCATGACTTCAAAGCTGCGACCTAAATGCAGAAACAGAAGGGTTAATGTCTCAATAGCTCTACATGTAACTTGTGAGTGGCCTGGGAGAAATGAAGATCTTCTGAAGAGGCCCTTGTGACTCTCAATCTGACCGGTAGACTATTGAAACATGCAACCTCAAAGAAATGGATATTTTTCCAATGAACCTCATGCTAGGAGAGAAAAGGGCACCAGTCAGTGTGGGAACTTGTCTGCTGGAGAAAGACCTCGCACAGTCCTAACCGCTTGCTAGCCTGCCTCCCAGGGTGAGACCGAAGCCCAGACAAGAACTGGCTGAGGGCAGGTTGGGAACAAACCTTGACCATGACTGCTCAGATGCATGCATCTGTTTAAACTTTGCTCTCACTTCAGGACCTGTAGAAGATGGACTTGGGGGTTTCACTGGGTCCTTTGTGCCTCTTCCCAATATGGCCACATTGATTAAATCTTTTTTTTTTTGCTTTCTGCTTTTAGTTTGGCTTTTTAAAATTGGCTTATTGGGGGGGGGCAGGCCTTACTTGTGGGGCGGGCTGTGTTCTCTAAATTCAATAACAATGCTAATATGTACTTTCAGGGAGTATGTGGGAGACATACTATGATCAAACAGCACAGAGAATGTTTAACTATGGCATCTAGAGTAAGCTGTTTAAATTCAACTAAGATTAGGATTTTCAGTCTTTAAGCTGAAGCTAGTGTTATTTATTAGCTACAAAGAGGGATCTATGAATTAAATGGGATAGAATAGGATAATAGCTCAGAAGAGTGCAAGGCATATCAATGTGCTCAAAAAGGCTAGGTAAAAATTCATAGCACTTTATCAGGACTGGAGGTATAGAATTGTGCTCAGCATGCTGGAGGCCCTTGGTTCAATTTGCAGCAATCCTTCCAAATAAAACAAATGGCAGTAAATTCCTGACTTTCAGAAGTTAATGTGTTCCCAAATTGTGCTCAAGACACATACCATGGTTTCAATGAGGCCGATGGCCTCGAACGCAAAGTCAGCACCAATTCCAGTCATTTCCATCACCACCTCCTGGACGGGTTTCTTGAGCTTGTTAGGGTTGAGACAATCAGTGACACCCAAGGCTCTTGCCCGGGGAAACTTCTGCTCATTGATGTCAACCCCGATGATTCTAGAAGCACCAGAGGCTTTGCAGGCCATGACAATGGCAGAGCCGATCCCTCCGAGTCCAAACACCACACAGGTGGAGCCAGGGGTGACCTGCAGATTCAGAGGCGATTTTGTGTTAGTAGGAAATGGAGAAGGGTGGGAAGCGCCTGTGGTTTTGTCCATGATGGAAAGAGCCTTCCGGCTGTGTGGCTCCCTGTTTACTGTGTGGACGGTCACTGAAAACAACTCAGAAATGTGTTCTTACCTGTGCTGTATTAAACACAGCTCCAAAGCCTGTCGGCACCTCACAGCCTAAGACACAGACTTTATCCATAGGAGCGGCATCATCAATCTTCGCCAGGGCAATTTCATCTGCCACAGTATATTCTGTGAATGTGCTGGTCCCGTAAAGATGATAGATTTTCTTCCCTCTGCAGGTAAATCTGCTGGTTCCATCCAACATTAATCCGGTTGGAGAGAGAATACTGCTCCCCAGACAGAGCAACAAAGAAGAGAAATGAAAAGACATTACCAGAGTTGTGTCAACCCCTGTACCCAGGAAAGCACGTGAGGTGAGAAGTCAAAATTGAAACTAACTTCTCTTTCTTACAGAAGTTGCCCTTAGGGTGGAGGCAATAGACACATTCTCTACATTCCGGAAGAGGCAACGTTAAGACTTTATCTCCTGAGGAGAAAGAATAAAGAAAGTTATGGCCAGCTCAGGGGAAACACGAAATACAGTAAATACCTCTGGGAACTGTTTATAGTGGATGTCATCAATTTGCTACAGAAGGGTTATGGCATGGTATTTGGAGTTAATTATCATTCCACTATGGGATCAAATTTTTTTTTACTATAAATAGACCTGCAAGATTAAAAAAAAAAAAGAATTCAGGTATTTGCAACTCATGGCATTGAAGGAAAGAGGTGGCCACGTCTAAGAGAAACATCTTGTGGTAGATGAGGCTTGTCTGTCTGGCTAAGAGTAACATCTGTA